CATCTTTTCGTCTCAGGAAGGGCCTCTCGTTGTTGACTTGTGTTAGGAGTAGAACGTCGTCTTCCTCTATCCACCACTTCTTCTCTAAGGCGTCTTGCGTGAGGTCCATGCTTCTGGTCATCTTGTTCTCCGTCGAAACTTGAGTCAAATGCCAATCCGTAAAAACCACCAAATTCATGGCCAGCCACGAAAATTTTTGACAGGTCCCGTAGATTGTATTAATTTTGGGAGGATAATTCATGGCAAATGCACGGAGCTTGTCCCGAAATCTCCCTAGTTAAAAAACCAGTTGAAATTTTATCTCCAATTTTTAATATTTTTTTTAAATCTTATTTTATTTAAAATAAGAGTGTCGCCGCCGTCATTCCACGTCTGATTCATCTGATGTGGCTGAACCTGTTGTGTCTAGCAAGCGCAAGATGATAATGGATGCTCAAGAGATGGAGGTTGCCCTCGAACGAGAGAAGCTGCAGTTTAAACGACTTAAATTCGAACGTGAGCTAGAGGAGCGCGAGAAGGACCGAGCAGAACGCGAGAAAGAGCGCCTTGAGAGGCAACAAATTCGCGAAATCGAAAACCGTCGCAACGAAGAAATGATGCAGATCATTAACCATTTCATTCAGCACTTGCAGAAGCAAACATGAGTATCAATCTAATGATTCGTGATTGATTAGCTTCTCGTCAAACAAATATGAGTATCAATCAAAAGTTTCATGATTGATTAACTTCTCGTCAAGTATTCTTGAAGTGTTGGCGGCTTCAACTGGAAGTAACTACTAATTTGATTTCCACCTTTGCAACATGTTTGGCAGTTGGTAAATAGCATCGCCAGGCAAATTGACTTTCCCACATTTTGCAGCATTATCTTTTGCTGCATTTTGTACGTGACAAATGCCCATTGCGTTTTCATCTGCGCAAAGCTCCATTCAACAGATTGCCGCACCTGGCTCATAGATTTGTTGAAATCATGCTTCAACTTGGTCGTAGCAGCGCCTTTATACCCGCTGCAAATCCAACGGAGCACGCCATACGCAGGGTCCCCATAGATTAAATACGGGCCAAGCTGCTCGGAAAAACAATCGAGATACTCCAGCAGTCTGCTCTCCCACAGCAGCGTCGTGTCATGGCGGGAACCTTCGATGGCCCCCCAAAATGAATGCACAGTCCATCTGGGGCTGTAATAGCTTGAAAATTCAAGCAGTGGTGTCGTTTATGGCCGCTATATATCAACCGTTGGAGGTCACCTTGGGGGCCATCGTCGTTGCCATGTCGAACCTTCTTGCGTGAAATGCGGCATGTCTCGATCTTGGAACCATCGATGAAACCAAAGATATTTTCAAGCATGGCGCCCTTTTGGGCAACTGCAGCAGCATAGGTCTGTACTCAAGCCAGAACGGTCCCCATGCAAAAGAACAAATGGTGTTTCCACCGGTCATATAG